TTTACACAGTACAAAAGAGAAATATATCATGTAATGGAAGTTAAATTGACTGTTGTTTACAGTTTAAAATACTTTTCCACAAATACATATTTCATGAAAGGGCATTGTTTTACAGGAGGAACTATGCTCAGTTATCAAAGGTACCAAATCTGCATTATAGTATCTTAAATACCCTTGCCCATTCACTGTCTTTGTCTTGAGCCTCATTTGAATAATGTTATAAATAGCCAGCCAATCAAATGAATCAGATGGATGAGAGAAATTCTCTTTTAAGTAAGTGGTAAGTAACAAAGTGGTCCAGGGTATTTATCACAATGGCTTGGCTTGGCTTGGCTTGGATTGCTTGGTTGGTTGGTTGGTTGGTTTGTTGTTTAACGCTGCACTCAGCAATATTCCAGCTATATGACAGCGGTCTGTAAATAATCGAGTCTGGACCAGACAATCCAGTGATTAATTTCATGAGCATCGATCCACGCGATTGGGATCGATGACATGCATCAACCAAGTCTGTCTGTTACGAGACATAATACCCTGGATCACTTGGGATGAGAAGAAACAAGCTGTTATAAAATGTATTAAATTCCTTATGTCTATCATCATATACAGATTTCTCAGTAGGGATAATGCATAATTACACCATGTGTTTACAGGTCTGTAGCTCTTTGAAGACAAGCAAATACTCACAATACTTCTAAATAATGAAACATCACTATAATGATAAATGTAACCATGGCAACATATCAAGTAAACAAGTATATTTCTAAATACTATGTACAGCATAACTGAATCTTAGTCTGTCAATAAATATTTCATGACGACAAATATTGCACTTCAAATAATTCCCAAATTCATGTGGGTTGGAAACTTAAACCTCATTATAATTAACAGTTGTTATCAATATTTCTGTACTCTCTTTGTTAATCTGTGTTAAATCTCCCAACCTCTGCAGGCACACCGAGATGTGACGACCTGGCCTCATCTGGGGTTACTACACCCCATCATCCCTTCCTGTTTCAGCTGTTCAACTACTGGGGGCTACGCATTGACCAATCAGATGTGTGCTGATGTGATTTACTATTCACTCATTGGCTACAAATCCTAAAATGCTTTTATACACCAGTCTTTTCCCGATTCACTTTCACATACATATATTTTCTTTCATCGTAGGTGATGATGAACAAGGATTTTAGACCCAGTACTGGTTTTGCCAAAAAGGAAAGATAAAAAACAATTGGCTAAAAAGGAAAGATAAAAAACACAACAATTGGCTAAAAAGTGAAACACTTATGTTAAATGACTGAGTGAGTATGGTTTTAAGTCGCTTTTAGCAATATTCCAGCTGGGGGACACCAGAAATGGACTTCACACATTGTACCCATGTGGGGATTTGAACCCGGGTCTTCAGCCTGACGAGCGAACACTTTAACCACTAGGCTTCCCCACGGCCCCTTTTATGGTAAATGAACAAATGAGACTGTGGTCAACACTGCAGACTAGACAATTCTTACCAACCAAATCTTGTGTCCACATCTCCAACATGTCTACTAGTGGTTCTTCTGCTCTACATTACACTTGAGAATCACAGGTGTCGTGATTCACCATGAATCTAACCAGCCGATACAACACAATGATTCACGTTTTAAATCAATATTGATTTCCTAAAAGCCTTAAACCTGCCTTACACCTAATGGATCCTGTATTAACTGCACATATTCCATGAGATAAAATACTGTAAAAGATCGTATTATAATATCAGTATAATTTTAGCCAAAAATTAATCAGTCATGCAATGAAAACAAAGTAGTAGATAGCAACAAGCTCTCGTCAGCTGTGCCACATGCACAAATTAAATATGGTGACTTAAGTACAGCAATGTGTATTGATACCCGAGATAGGTGTATCATGACACCTCTATAAGAAAATATTTAATATCCATTTGATTCTTGTTTTAATGCTGCCCTCAGCAATATTCCTGCTATATGACAGTGGCCTGTAAATACTCAAGTCTGGACCAGACAATCCAGTGATCAATATCATGAGCACAATCCACTTCAACAGAGTACAAACACATGCAATCAACCAAGTCACCGAGCCTGACCACAAATCTATTTAGTCCCTTCCTAACCTGGGCCCCGTTCCACAAAGCGATCTTAGGGCTAAGTTGATTGTAACTCACTAAGTACACGATCTTAAATTTTGGTTACGATCAGCCGCCCGTTCCACAAAGCAATCTTAACCGAGAGAGTTGTAAGTTAAGATCAAAATGCTAAGTTGCTCCGGACCAACTTAGGATCGCTAAAATCAATCTTAAATATTGTACCATAACAACAAAGATGGCCATATTTCGACAATGCGTCGTCTGCTAAACATTACCAAGGGAGGCCACTCTTAGGGAAACTTTCGTATCTTCATGGCTGAAGATTCCGATCTTTGTTAAGATCGGCTACTTAAGAACTTGTAAAGTTACAATCGCCCTAAGATCGCTTTGTGGAACGGGCGTAAACTTTAGCTAAGACGATTTTATAATCGACGTAAGTCTCTAAGATTGATTGTAGTTACGATCGCTTTGTGGAACGGGGCCCTGGGGACCTCTTCTTACCCTGAAATACCCACAGGAGATTTGAGATTTCAACATGGGCCCTTTGCATTTAAAAGAATCAATAACATCACAACATATTTTCATTTTTCACTTCCATATGGTTTCTTGGACAACATACATATCAACAAATTCTCAAGCCATGTAACAAATGCCTACTAACAATTAGTAAAATATGATTCCAGGCTCAGGTACGACGACAAAAATCTGTCAGATTAAAAAAAAGATGCGTATCGTTCAAATGAAAATTGTTCATAAATGTAGCACTCTTGATATGCAATATTAACTGAGATTCTAAAACATATTCACCCTTAAACAAATGATACATGGGGGTGACATTCCTGGTAAAATGCATCTAAAAGTTTGACGTGAGCATGAAATCTTTGAACACAATACCTACAACACCGGTCAACAAACATGGCCGGCCCATCTGCAGGCAAACATCTGGATTTCTCGGAACAAGATGAAGGGACATTACATGAACTCTGTCAATGAGTGAGTAGGTCGGGTTTTGGGTAAGGGTTGCTTTGAACAGTATCTTGGTTCTAAACATACTTTTTGCTCCCTTCAATTTAATATACTTATCCTGGGGTGCCAGCGATACAAAACATGGATCCTCAAGTTTGAGACGTGTTTAGCTATTGGTACATATCAAACATGTGACCACAAAATTAATTTGGCAATTGGAATTGACAGCTCCCTCAAATAAAGTTAAGTCATGTCATCTGATTTGGAAAATTAATTCATTTCAAAATAATGAATCTAAAAGTTAAAAAAATGTTATAACTTAAAATTTCTAAAAAAAAGTTATCACAAACTAAATTAAGAATACACAATATACAAATAATGACCACGATTAATGATGATATGACACTATTTCTTCAATTATGCGTTCTTCACATCCTTGACCATGGACCAGTTGCTTCTACAGATATATTTTGGGTTTGATACGGATGACAGGATGCTATAAACAGTCTACAATCAAATCACACTCATGTGAGATGAATTCTCAGGGTAACCGATAATTGAGATGAGTCGTCACATTTATTGATTAAAAAACGTGTTGAATCTGATAAAAAATGATAGGATAATTGTGCCCCATACAATAACGATTGAAGCTGTGGAGTTCCTGTGATGCATACAAGGAAGTAAGTCCCTTGTTGGGAAAATATACTACTCTAAAGAAGTTAAGGAACACCGAGTTTTTCATATCATGACAAGCCAGAATCATATGAAACAAGTGAAATGAAATACTCATATCCCCCGCCAATATGACATGTCTGGTTGTGTGGAAGGCATTAGCCCCTGTGAACTATCAAAACGCACCAGTTTACCACTAGACCTATCTATGTGCCAAGTTTGGTGATTAAATATTGTAAGATTTTCACGATCTGTTTCGGAAAGGAGCACTACCACCATTTTCAGTCAAAGTCGTGGCCATGGAAACTCGAAAAAAATATTGAGTGAGTGAGTGAGTGAGTGAGTATGGTTTTACGCCGCTTTTAGCAATATTACAGCAATATCACAGCGGGGGACACCAGAAATGGGCTTCACACAATGTACGCATGTCAGGAATCGAACCCAGGTCTTCAGCGTGACGAGCGAACGCTTTAACCACTAGGCTACCCGACCGCCCCGCACCGTATAGATACTCACAAACACATCACCTATCTATATGCAAAGTTTAGTTAAGAAATCTCTCCTCGTTTTCTAAATCTCTATGGAAACGAAATGCGACCGATGGACAGCACCCATTCCTGTATCCCCCTTCCACTTCATGGCGGAGGAAAGAATTGGTGTTCTTTAACATCTCTGGAGTAGTATATTTGTTACGATGAAACAGATCATGTCCTCCAACAGCAATGGTTACTGGCAGCTGGTTGTTTCATATACCAAGTAAAAATTGACAATGAATGTCACAAAAGTCTTTGGTAAAACAATAACTAAGTACTTAAACAAACATTTCAAAACACATCATTAACAATACGGGTTACTTCACCAAAAAATGTCTCAAAAATACTGAAAAGTGCATCAACTTTGGTCAAACAACATAAATAACATATCTTATTCAAAGATATTGACATTTCAGTAACAATATTCGTAAATGTCGACAAATACGAAAAAATAAAATTACGTGATTAACAGGCAGATAATTAAGTTTAGGATTAAACTTATGGTGAATATAAGAACTTCCACTTGTTCTGACAAAATATTTCGTCTACAGACTCAATTCATTTGAAAATTTACAACCGCAAATCAGGTTTGATAAAATCTTGAACACACTCGCCATCATTTCATGAAGCACGTCACCGATTGTGACGTGGCAGTTTTGGGTCTTGCCCACAATAGCTCAACAATGACATGCACACAGCGATATCCAGTTCCCTTCGGATATATTTCTGACTGTACAAATGCTGCAATAAATTGGACTGGTTCCTGGTTGCACTTGAGCTGCAGCACCTTCATGTCCCCTTTGATCTATTGAAATAGCACTGATCTGTCCAGCGTCCATGACCTTGTTAATGAGACACACAACATGCTGCTGTGCATGACCAATGTACGGCGCCATAAACCGTACCACTTCCTGTGCACAATCCCAACAGCTTTCCCTCCAAATTTTTTATGTACTAAACAAAACAAAAAGTCTGATCATAAAGTACAATACTGGATTTTCCCCCATTTGGTAATCATGTTACATAGGATATGCTAAAGGACAAAATGGCTTCTGTCAAACTCAGAGTCCCAGTTCCATGTATCATGGCAACACCTCGAAAAGTATGCAGTCTGTATCCCCGATACCAGCTGAATGTTGCCATGTCTCCAGCCAGAAAGAGTTTCCTGTGTTATGTTTAGCATCAGCCGTTCGTTGAGTTAAAGTATTGAACGCTACCCAATACCAAGGCCACAGGAAATCGATTACTTGTTTTCCGATTCAATAGATTAAATGCATTTCGCTTCATGAGATTTTGTGAAAATGTTGGTGCTGGGTCTACCATTGGAAAGTATTACAGCCCTACCTTGTGGTGAACATGTGGTACAGATGGATGCAGATTGCCAAAATTTACAAATTTGGAAATCCACAAACCCATATATGGCACAATCTCATTAAAATCAGACCTTAGTTCTCGCTACCGCTAACCAAAGATCTGAGGACATCCCATTAGGGGTCACGTCAGAACGACCTTTCATCTGACCAATCAGTATGTTGCTTACCAGATTATGAAAGTGACAGTCGGAATGTGATTTCTAATCATGCAATCTCGAAAACTTTCGACCATCTATTAGCCATTCAAGAATGTTTTTTTGTTTGGGTTTTAAAATTTGTAATCGAGAATTTGTCAAAATATGTTTCGAAGCGTAGTCGCCAATTTGAAATTTGTGCCGTAAAGCACGAGAAAGCTGCCTTCTGATTGGTCATTCCATTGGTCAGTCAAAGTTCGCGCAAGGTCGGCCTGACATGACCCGTAATGGGATGTCCTCAGATCTTTGTTTAGCGGAAGCGAGAACAAAGATCTGATTTTAATGAGATTGAGATATGGCATGGCCTGAACGCTGTTCGGGACAAATCCATGATTTAAACACCAAACAGAAGATCATGCCTGCAACCTGGACCACTTGCTCCCCATGATGAGTGAGTGAGGTTTTATGCCACTTCAGGCAACATGCTGGGAGACTCCAGAAATGGGTTTCATATATTGTACCATATTGGATTCAAACCCTGGTCTGACAAGCGAATGCTTTAACCATTGGACCACCTCACCTCTACTTTAATGATACAGCATGTGGGGTTGCATCTTACATCACCTGCCTGGCCAAAGAAGTCTTCTACCCAGGGTGCACTGACAAACAGATCTTAACCTATCAATTTCTGTCTCAAGGACATTTTTTGATTGTAAAGGTACACACTAAAAGAAAAAATAAGCAAGAAACTATTAAAAACTTATACAAGAATGTCAACCTGTTTCTTTCTCTTATTAACAGCTGCTGAATCTGTTGTGAGAACATTTAGAACATAATATTAAAGAATCTTTAACAAATTTAAAAGTACTAATCCCTTAACAGTGAAAAACTGCATTCCAGCCATTAGCTGTTTATCATAATACATTTCTGTAAAGGTCTTCAATACCACTAACACAACAATGTATCCATAACGTTGTACGCTTTCTTACAAAAATGTGCCTTGACCATTGTCTGGAAACACTGGTAAGGGGAGACAACTTGTGTTCAAGGGAGGTAATCAGCATACAACGATGTGCCTTCAACATTGTCTGGATACAGTCAGCTCACTTGGTAAGGGGAGACAACTTGTGTTCAAGGGAGGTAATCAGCATACAACAATGTGCCTTCAACATTGTCTGGATGCAGACAGCTCACTGGTAAGAGGAGACAACTTGTGTTCAAGGGAGGTAATCAGCATCCTTCAGGCAGCTGGAATGCATCTTGTGCAACTGTGACTGCTATGGGTGACAGACGCTCGGTCTTCACTTCATAAACACTACTCAAATCAAATGGCGGGGAATCGGGCTCCTGAAATTATAAATTGTTACCAAATTAAAACATGCATATGAGTGTAGCTTGACAACTAGTTACATATGTCACAAAAGGTCAAGGCGCATCATGTGAAATGACAAGGTCTGTTTGGCCAGTAAATATTTTTGGACCTGACGTGCTGATGTCTGACATTTTGAACTGAAATTGTGCCGGAAATAATCTGCAATTAATGTTTTTGACAACGTGTTACTCACTGTTTTAATGAGGATACCATCTCCCCCCTCTTCCTTTGAATGGAACCTCCCTCCTTCTCCTCGCGCTCGATTCAATGCGTGTCGGTGTCGTGACTCGTGAAGATATTTCTGGAACAAAAGTCAATTATATAGTCAACTTAACAAACACTCAAACAACTAAAGCCTCTCTTTCACACGAAGATCAAAATTGTATAGGTAATCTCGATACTAAGAGGTAAAACTGTCATAGTATTTCAAGTGAGGAAGTATTGCATTGATTTTTTTCCTTATTACATGAACACGATGAATACATAACATTTCTAATTATAAGAATCCGGTAATCTTTTTGGTTCAAATTACACATTAAAGTGCAAAGTGAGCGAATAAGTGAGTTTTGCTTCATGCTTCTTTGAACAATGTTTCATTATCATTGGGGCGTGTCAGCTTGATGGGAGAGAGTGAGTGAGTGAGTGAGTGAGTGAGTGAGTGAGTATGGCTTTATGCCCCTTTTAGCAATATTCCAGCAATATCACAGCAGGGGACACCAGAAATAGGCTTCACACATTGGACCAATGTGGGAAATTGAACCTGGGCCTTCGGCGTGATGTGTGAACGTTTTAGTCACTTGGCTACCCCACCGCCCCATAAGCCCAAAATGAAGTAACCACTTTAATGAATCGGGCTGACAGGGCAAACCAGGATTAAGACCCTAGATCATAGGATTCTGGCATGCCTAAGGGTAGCAACTCTGTACATCAAGTTACAGAACTGGACCAATGGTGCAATGTTAGTGCCATGTTAAACTGATGTCATTCAAACTTTTTCACATATTACTTCAATACCTCAACAAGCGGGGTAGAAAAGGTCTTCAGCAACCAATGCTTGCTGTTAAAGGCGACTAAAGGGATAGGATGGTTAGGCTTGCTGACTTGGTTGATGCATGTCATCGTACTCCAATTGCGTGATCGATGCTCATGACATCAATCACTGGATTATCTGATCCAGACTCGATTATTTACAGACCACCGCCATACAGCTGGACTATTGCTGAGTGCGGCGTTAAACAACAAACACACAAGAAAACATGTTCATGAAGTAAAGGCGACAGTTTAACAGCTTCGTGTAGATCTGATCATCAGATTCTGATGTTACAGTTTTCGTCAAGAACACAAGACATCACAACATCTCTACACAAAACCGACAACTTCCAAGAGACTCAGCAGAGAAAAAATGCAAACATGCAAGAAATCAAACTGATTTCAATGAATGGTAAAAAAATGTGTTAAAAAATGCTAAGAACAAGAATCAGGGCCAGTTCGACAAGGCAATCTCAGCGCTAAGACAGTTGTAAGTCTAACATGCAACAGTAAACCACCACAACCAATACATACTTTTTTCCCAGTCCCAAATTTATAAACATAGCAATGAAAACAAGCTATCAGACACGAGCAGATTGAGAAAGTGACCTTTTATGCCGCTTTTAGCATTAGGTAAAAAACACCAAAATACTTGTATTTTGGTTGGTGCACCTATACCAACAGGCTTACATCTTCCTGAGGCAAGGGAGTTAACTGACTATAAAAGTCCAATTTCCACCCTCACCGAACTAGGCTGGTATTATGGAGTTAGGTTTTGGCTGGACTAACGAGTCTATGCATAGTCCAATTAAGATTGCGCAATGAAATCAAAATCTGGTTCAGTCGATTGCAGGATTTGCAAAGCATGTGCACCGCCAAATCGTTGTCAACGGATATTTTCCAAATCTTTTCATGTTTTTAATGAAGGTGCTCATGTGATTTGATGCACTTCAAGACCAACCCGGTCTTAGGTCGCCATAACAGGAGGTACCGGGGGAGGCTACTCTACTGACCTGGAATCCCAGCTTGGAGAGATGGTAGTATTGCTTGAGGGCGACCATAGGCGAATCCAGTGGGGGGGGGGGGGGGGAAGGTTTCCCATTTCCCAGAGATATTTCGGACCCCTCCCTTTCAAAAATCCTGGATTGCCCATGGTGACTTTGACAAGAAAGAAGGTGTGTTTGTGACCAATTTGCTGGAGGCTGAGTGAGTGAGAGTTACCTCCCTTGGTCATGAATACTCTGTTTATGATTTTGAGTCAAATGTATTCAATTGGGGTAATGCAAATAGACCTTAAAAATTTTGCTTGTTTTCTTTTTTTTGGTCTTATACGATGAGTTTGGAAAACAGGTTAGACAGGTGTGCTGTAAACATATTAAGGTTATGTGCTACATAAAGTAAAACAAAGAAAAAAATTAAAAATTTATCATTTGTGAACTTGAATAGCATGAACAGAGCACTTGTTATGTGAGACTAGCAGAAATCTTCCCATTGATGTTTACTTCTTATCATTGCATTTGGTTACCATAGTTACAGTGAGTGAGTGAGTGAGAGTGGTTTTATGCCGCTTTTAGCAATATTCCAGTATTATCATGGCGGGGACACCAGAAATTGGCTTCGCACATTGTACCCATGTCGGGAATCTAACCCGGGTCTTTGGTGTGACCAACTTTAACCACTAGGCTACCAGACCCCCCCCCCCCCCCCCCCAAGTTACAGAAAGAAAGTCAGCGCAACAGAGCTGGACACGGAAATGACTTAAACTAGAAGCAAATTAATATTTAATGCTGCATCTCAGACACATAGCGACGAGATGAAAACTAGAAAAAGATAACACTTGTAAACAGAATCTTATAACAGCAATCATTTGTGTCTCAGTAGGTTTTTTCCAATATTTTAGGATTTAGTTTTTCTTAAAACAACCCTTTTTACAAAGTACAAGTGAAAACTATTGTCAGGTGAAATAAAGAAAAAAATCCATTAACTTATAAGAAATGCCCATCAAAGAAGATGGAGTGGCTTCTGTTACAAAAGGATCAATATGTGTTAACGGTAATTCCTGTTTCAAAACTGACGGACTGATTGTGTTTGATGTTCTTTCCCTCACTTGTGAAATATCAGGTCACCTCCCTCAAAAACTTGTCCGAGGTAATAAGAGGTAATAAGAAAAACATCCTTTCAACATCACATTCATCCTGACAAAAGATATGAAAATGCTGTTGTAGTTGTGATGAAAATTAACTCTGATATGATATGTTCAATATGGCTGCCTTGGAGGCCATGTTCCTGACTCAGGTTACAACCCTATAATTTCAAAAATGCAACCGTTCAATGAACAGACAGATGAACACAACATGAGACAAGGTGAGCTAACACACACACACACAAACCGACTGTGAGACACCAGGTGAGCTAACACATACATACCGACCATGCACATACACAATATAAGAATCGGGCAGATCAACCTATGTCTCACCAAAAGTCGTTCTCACCCGTCTCTCTTTAGATATTTTGCCGTCTGCCTCTAACTTGGCACGGGCTTGACGGCGTTTCAGTATCCGATGATACTGCTTTGCGTTTACATATAATGGTTCATCATCATCAACAATTTCTGGACAGGTGAGCGGGACTCTTTGAACGGTGGGGGTGTTTGTGGAACCGGGAACAACCTGCAATCAAGAACACATTTTTGGAATTTCCCAAAGAAATAGTTGCTAAAGTGATTATCTTATCTCCATGTCAGAATGCTGACATCTGATTGGTCCATGTGATTTTTGATAAAATATCACATATTCCCCCCTGGGAAGGAAATCAATTTCTCTATGGGAGAATACACGAATGCCAGGATGCACATTGATTTCTAAATGGGATAATAAATCTCTTGCACCCCGTAACAAAGCAAAAAGATGCATGTTCTTTATGACTATGAGTCAATGAAAGTCAAGTGACACATCACAAAGTTTACTTCTGCTCGGTCAACCAGTTGTCATACTGGTCTTGGAGGTTTATGACTTTAGGTTGGTTGGTTTGTTGTTTTACGCCACACTCGGCAATATTCCAGCTATATGACGCCGGACTGTAAATAATCAAGTCTGGACCAGACAATGCAGTGATTAATATCATAAGCATCGATCCACACAATTGGGATCGATGACATGCTTCAACCAAGTCAGCGAGCCTGACCACCCTATCCCGTTAGTCGCCTCTTGCGACAAGCATAGTCGCCTTTTCCAGCAAGCATGGGTTGCTGAAGACCTATTCTACCCCGGATCTTCACGGGTCTTAGGGCTTTGGGGAAACCTTCAAGCACGGTGCTGATAAACCCAGAAACTTAATCAGGGAGAAAACAATATTTAAACCCAACATCATTTCAAAGTTGCCTGCACAGAGAATTGTAGTGCCTTAGATAATTGGGTCACTCCTACCCACAGCCTCTTGCAACAAAACTTCGAGGCGAGTTCTGCCTGAAATGACCCGGGGGATCTCATTGATCCAGTTACCTACCATGACAACATTTCCATTGTCGGCGTTGTTGGTGACAGGCATCGGCGACGGTGACTGTGTTGTGGTCTGTGGCGCACTCACCACCTGATTGGCGTCAGGCATCACTGGAGTTTGGGTGGACGGATAGGCTACCTGGTACACTCCTGTGGGAGAGACGCATCACGTGTGAGATACTAGCCCATGGCATGGGTTCAAGGGGGTTCAACACCCCTCTTTTGGAGTGAGTGAGTGAGTGAGTGAGTATGGTTTTACGCTGCTTTTAGCAATATTCCAGCAATATCACAGCGGGGGACACTAGAAATGGGCTTCATGCATTGTACCCATGTCGGGCTACAAACCCGGGTCTTCGGCGTGACGAGCGAATGCTTTAACCACTAGGCTACCCGACCGCCCCTTAGAGTGAGTGAGTTGGGTTTAATGTCACTTTGAACAGTATTCCAGTTATATCATGGCGTGTCAGCTTAATGTGGGAGGAAACCTCCAAGTGAAGCAGGTCTCAGACCTTTACCACTTCGGTGAAACCCATGAGCATCAGGGTGAACAATGGTGAACCGGGATTCCAACCCACAATCAGAGGGACGTAACTCTGCACAGCAAATTCTGGTGAGGTGAAATTAGGTTTAATGTCACGTCAAAGATTATTACACTTACATAGCGATGTGCATGCATGTGGGTGGGTTGACATGCGTAGGTTACGTGTGGCTGCTTGTACTAGTTCGGACTGATGCTGATTTATAGGGCTAGCCCACTGAGATACCATGCCGCAGTTTTAACATAAACATCCCACTCAGATACAGCAAACTGACTCCGAGCCGACCAGTCCTTGTTTTTGCCCCCTAATGCAGAGGCAGGGTAACAACAAATACCATCTTTTAATGTCGTCTGGTACGACGCGGCCAGATCGCACCACGGATCTTCGGTTCTCCGGGTGGACACACTACCACTAGACCACGGAGGCAGTCCTGTCCTTTTGGAAATCACATATGAACCCCAAAATGTAGCCCACCCCTAAAAAAGACCCTAGGAGACTGTCACTGACCTGACTTATGTATTGATAAATTTAAGAAACTCCAACCTTATTTTGGTACACAAATCTAAAGTGAGTTAAAATCAGAGGAAAAGACTTACGAGTGCGAATAGTGATGACAAATAGTTATGGCAAAAAGACGTTTTCAATTTGTTTATTATCAGATCTAAATGCTGGTAACACTCATACACAGTTTCAACTCTATAGTTTTAACTGAGATCATAAAACTTTATTACCGTATTTTCTTGAGTAAAGTGCGCACCCGTATATAATGCGCACCCCCCTCTAGCAGGTTCAATATTTTGAAAAAAAGAAGAAATTTGAATATTATGCGCAGAAAAAATTTACACCGTACCCTTTCAGCGAAGTCCGGCAAACGAACGGGTGATGAGAAACTTCGTCAGCATTGTCAGTACAAATTCGAAATTTGAGATAAAAAAATCACCAGACATGTTTATTTACCGATTAAATAGTATTTATTGTTCTGCTAGGCATTGTTTTATATCCAGGGATTAAGATTACCTTGTGTATTGTCTCGTAAACTAAGCCGGAAACAGCAATCAGCTGTACACACGTTTTCTTGGAATCGACCGGTGATTCGGTCAAGACACACCCAATGATATAACTTTATAGGATTTTTAATGCAAGGATCGGCAACAATTGTATCTGAAACTATTTTTTTTATCAGGAATAATATATTCCATTATTTACTTAATTATATGCAGCCTTTACTAAACATATTTAAAATAATAATAACCCGAAGCGAAGCAGCTGATCGCTATTCCCGGGTATTATTTTTTACATGGAACCAATCTGACCAGTCACCGTCAAGGCTCACGCGCACATGATCGCGTGATAGCGAGAATTTCATGTTGACATAGAATCGTCAAACAAAAACAAATATGACTTTTAACGAATCAAAGTATGTCATTTATGATATATGTATCCATTCTCTGTCAACTAAAGTTTGTTTCAAGGCGTCAATAGCGGTATTCTGACCATGGTTGCTGTTAATAACGGTGAGTTGTGCGATATTCCGATCGCTTCACACACGATTTCGCCGAAATTAATAAAAACAATATTAAAAGGAATTTTGAATAAAATTAATGAAATAAGTTACAAACATAAGTCCCGATATACAAATAACACTTTTTATAGCCAGACAGTGTAATTACATGATTATTTTGCGTACTTCAGTATGGATTTGTTGACATGGTATTTCCGGTGTTTCTTGCTCACGGTAATGTCTTTCCATGGGGGAAAAAAACATCCAAACTCATAATTCGTGTATAATGCGCACCCCCTTCCACACAGCTGTGTTTTTTGGAAAAAAAGTGCGCACTATACTCAAGAAAATACGGTAAATGTATGAGGGCAAGTGAAAATATTGCAGGTCGAGTACAAAATAATATCTACTTGCCCTGCAGGATGACAAGTTCAGTTTAAAAAGAAAATTTGACCCTGCATCCCAATTGCTACAGATTTGGGCATATTCCACTGAACACAAAACAACACAAGCAGTTGTTCATCGGAATTGAATTTACACCATAGACCATAAATAGATCATATACAAATGCTTTAAGCAAAGTTCTAAATCATTGTTTCAACTGGTTATGGAAAGATGTTTTCTACTTGAAACAGGGATTGGAAGGAAAATTCAAGGAATCTTCAAGACAGGCCTCAAAATTCAAAGACAAGGTCATTCAGCATGTGCACAGTCCATTTCCTTACCTTGTGACTGGAGTTGCGCCTGAGCAGAGTTATCTGCCCCTGCTACATGCTGCTGCCACAGTATCTGACCGTTCTGAGCATTGATGAACTGCCCGAGAACCTGATTCTGTGTCTGAGGCTGCTGAATAAATACCTGGAAGCACATAGCATCACCATGGAAGAGCGGAGTCTCATGTGGTTTACTCAAAATGTACTGAACACTACTGAGATTCTGTTTAAGGAGAAAGGAGGTTTTAGTTCAAAATGTGGACATGAAGGACGTCATTTCTATTGTCATTCCGACCTCACATCACAATAAGATTCGAATGAATTCAACAATGGCGTCTGGATGATGGAAACAATACAATGTTGTCTAGTGACGTGATGTGACTCTAGGGCACACACAATTTATATGAACCCCGATATGTGTGCCCTCGTAGGTAATAAAGTGCCTTATTCAAGTGTGGTGACTTTATAGCATAGACAGCTGTCAAATATGGCAATGTCTGACATTCAAATTAAGAATTGACTTCAATATTTTTTGCATTTATGGAAGTATGAACAGTGAGCACATTGGTTTTTATGTTGATTTGTCCATAATCGCAAAACATATTGCAGTAAATTCTTTTAAATAAAAAGAGTCAACAATAATTACTTAACCCTTAACCCAAATACCCTTTGGTCAACTTGCTGATCTACCATTTGGGTGCAAGAAATAATTTAACGACGGTAAAATTGTATTTTCCTGAACTGTTTTATGCCAAAACAAGTCGCCAGATATCAGTTATAGCTATAGATGAATAATTACATCAGTGCTCAAACATTTGCATCATCAGTCAGGCTTGAATCTGAATATAGGGCCATGAATTGTTGGCTCGTCAAAACATGTCATCTTTCAAGATGGGGTGCACCAATAGAATATAATACAATTACTGTAATCGACGAAATAACCGCCCTGGGTGCTCTCAAAATTAGAAATAGGGGGCTCTTATTAGAATATTATTTTGGTGAAAAAAACAGAGTTGAAAGATAACATTCGTGGTTTATGCTGACAGCCTTAAATGTTTATGTACGACAGATATATTTTTCCAGAATTTAATTCCCCATAATTAACGGTGCATATAACACACGAGTGCGTATTATACGCGAATAAATCAATCTTGTGTACATTGATCAATCGGAAGGGGTTCTAATTGGGATTGTTCACTTGCGAATATATTAGCAAATATCGCCATGGGCGCTTATTAGAGCAGGGCGCTTATTACGTCGAATACGGTATCCTTAAATGAGATCACCATTTGTGGAAAAACCTCCCATGAGCATGCTTACACACTGCTATAAAAAGTATTTCATTAATACTGCCTCCTATGAGTTTAATTACAGAGGAAACCCACAGGGGTGCAGACAAATGACAGAATAAAGATTGTAGTCTGGGCCAATGAAGGATCAGAAATATATCAGCAGATCCTGGCACTGGTAAGGGATGCAACTCTGCACAGAGTCAGTCCAAGCCTGTGAGCACCGCACAGCTTGGATACCAGTTTACTGTACATGACATGTTTGAAAGTGACTATTTGAGACAGAGTGTGGTGGACGTACTGGTTGCGAGACGTTCTGGTGCTGGTTCTGAGGCATGGCCTGGTTTCCAGCATACAGGGGCAGCTGAAGAGAAGGAGGAGACGAGGGTTGGTGCCCGGAATCGGGTCATGAAACACAATCATGGCTTAATGTGAGTGAGTGAGTATGGTTTTACGCCGCTTTTAGCAATATTCCAGCAATATCACGGCGTGGGACAACAGAAATGGGCTTCACACATTGTACCCATGTCGGGATTCAAACCCGGGTCTTCGGCCTGACGAGCCAACGCTTTAACCACTAGGCCACCCGACCGCCCCCTGGCTTAATGTGAGTTGTATTCATGCATACTACTTAAAAAGTTAAAGAACACCAATCTTTTCATATGACCATAGTTAATGTGTCATGGCTGTTTGTGTTTGAATCGGGTCATGAAACAATCATCAGCGGTTGGTTAGTTGGTTGGTTTGTTGCACACAACAAAATTCCAGCTATATGACGGTGGTCTGTAAATAATCGAGTCTGGACCAGACAATCCAGTGATTAATATCATGAGCATCAATCCACGAATTTGGGATCGATGACATGCATCAACCAAGTCAGCGAGCCTGACCACCCGATCCCGCTAGTCGCCTTTTACGACAAGCATAGTCACCTTTTACAGCAAGCATGGGTTGCTGAAGACCTATTCTACCCCGGAATCTTCACGGGTCTAGAAACTAGCAGTTTTAGTCCACTAGTCCTTATAACAACATATAGCAAAACCCTTAAAAATGGCAAATTTCTAGTAGTCCTTGGGATACCTTAACTATTGGGCAGTTTGGGAAGGACTATAGGACTAGTGCAAATTTCTAATGCTGTAGCATGGCTTATGTGAGCTGTATTTATGCATACTACTCAAATGAACATAACGAACACAGACCTTTTTGCATGACTACAGTTTATGTCATGCCTAATGGGTATTGCAACTCACAGCCTTTCAACAGTGAGTACTCTTAACTTGTTTTGAGTAGTATGTATATTTATTCCAAGTAGTTGTTTATATGGGTGGGGTTTCATAAACAGAGTGGGGACTAACACAATTTCACTGTTTTAAGTATTTTATAAAATATTCTAATGTAATGGTTCTTACCTGCTGCAGAATTTGTCCATTCTGTCCCTGAAGCTGTATAGTCTGTGGGAACTGGCCCTGAATCTGTATATGTTGTCCCTGGGGCAGGGTCTGCAGCATGAAGGACTGTCCTTGCAGGAGGCCATTCTGCCCAAGCTGGATCAGCTGACAACACAACACATGGTCAGGGCTGCATGGTTACATAACACATGGTCAGGGCTGGATGGTTACACAACACATGGTCAGGGCTGCATGGTTACACAACACATGGTCAGGGCTGGATGGTTGTATAACACATGGCCAGGTCTGGATGGTTACACAACATGGTCAGGGCTGGATGGTTGTATAACACATGGTCAGGGCTGGATGGTTGTATAACACATGGTCAGGGCTGGATGGTTGTATAACACATGGTCAGGTCTGGATGGTTACACAACATGGTCAGGGCTGGATGGTTGTATAACACATGGTCAGGTCTGGATTGTTACACAACTTGGTCAGGGCTGCATGGTTACACTGTAGGGAGATTTACCTTAGTTCCTAACTTGCAACAGGATACCTATAATATCAAGTTGCAATTGTTTTTTGTTTGTTTGTTGTTTAATGCCACACTCAGCAATATTCCAGCTATATGACGGAGGTATGTAAATAATCAAGTCTGGACCAGACAATCCAGTGATTGACATCATGTGCGTCAATCTACGCAATTGGGATACGATGACATGCATCAACCAAGTCAGCAAGCCTGACCACCCGATCCCATAAGTCGCCCCTTACGACAAGCATAGTCAGTCACCTTTGGGGGCCAGCATAGGTTGCTGTGCCCCTTTTCTACCCGGGATCTTCACAGGTTAGTTTTTCCTACAATACCAGATATTTAGGATTCAAAACCCTTGGCAATGACAAATTGGAAAAAATTATTCATTTTGTTCAAAATTGAGATTTATCTAACATTTTATAGCTCTTTCTTTCAGTTAACCTTAAAGGGTATTTAACATTGCATTCAATGAACTAATGTAAAACAAAGCGCTTCATCTTTAAATGTCCTGTTGTCAGACAATGAAATACAATTCACCTCAGCAAAGCCATAACATTATCATGACTAAATTGGGACTTTGTTATTCCAAGTTGGTAATTCTGTACTGCCATTTGCTGACTATCGACCTCTGGTGTGGTCTATGTAACTTCCTGCATAAAACAATCCCTATATGATATGTGAAGTCAGACCAGTTTTCTATCTGTGAAAGAGCAGTATTCCATTATCAATGGGAATTACTTATGACAAACTAAGAGTTGTACTGAACCACTGATACACTTTGTGACAATTATGGTGTATTAGATCTCGTTCCATGGTAAAGTAAGACAAGATCGACAACATGAAAACCCCAAACAAGACATCAGTGGGGAGAATAAAAAATGTTAATACAGTCAAGTCTCGTTAATCCGACACTCGTTAATCCGACACTCGGCTTTATCCGACACAAATGATGGGAACCGATTGATTCAGCGCTATTTAGTCCCGTTAATCCGACATTCTCGCACTCCGACTCCGACACACCTAATTTGCAACGAATTACCGAAATCACTCATTAATCAGTCTCGTTAATCCGACACAGTGGTCAGCGTACTCCGTGGTCATCTGCCCGCGAGTACACAACCCCGTGTTTTGACACGCACCGGCTGCAGAGATTAACCTTAACAATTAACACTAGATGCCGGGATCATAAAGAATTTCAAGCTTTATTATAAGAAACAAATGAAATTACACCTCGACAATGTTGATGCTGAAGAACCACCAGCCCTAGACGTCAAGCGAACAGGGGACTTTGAGAAATGTGCCTTCAAAATGTGAGAAACAGAAAACACTGACAGACTATTTTAAGTAGATGAAGCAAGTTGTTAAGACAGTAGCACTTGCATTTACACGAGGAAACACACGGTTATTATCTATCGTGAAGATGTCCGATTTTCGATCACAAATCACTTAATTTCGTTAATCCGACATACTCGTTAATCCGACACAATCATGTGCAACCAACGATGTCGGATTAACGAGACTTGACTGTATTTGCAGTCAGTAGTATTCCAGCTACATTCAGGGGTTAATCTGGACCTGCAGTGGCCCATATTCGGCTTCAAGTCTGCAGCCAATGCTACTACAAATTCCCAAATTTAAACTACAAAAATCAGCGATAGAAACTAACTGTTTTAGTCCACTAGTCCTTATGATAACAGAGCAAAACCCTTAAAAATATAATAAAAATGGCAAATTTCTACTAGTTCTTACGATACCTTAACTATTGGGCAATTTGACAAGGACTACAGGACTAGTGCCAATTTCTACACTGAAAATTTCCCAATTCCTATAGTTACAACCAATGATATAGCATTGTAGTGGTGACATGTATTTCAATTGTAACCAATAAAGATGCTCGAGAAGGCTCTAACGCTTAGTTTTACAACACTATTGCATTGAAAGCAATACTAAAATACCTCTTAATTGTTATTTCATTAAGCATGTTAATCATTTCCCTGCTGTTTACCCAGTATACTTAAGCGAAAGTATATTTAGCATAAAAATCGTCCCAACATGGTATATTTTTTATTAAATGTGATTTCTAAGTGTATAGCTAAGGCACTGTGAACAAACCTGTGGCTGTGCCTGGAGTTGTCCCCCTTGCAAGGGGAACTGGATGGTCTGAAAGGGAGACTGCACTACGGACACTCCGTTCTGACTTGCATCATACGAGTTCTGCACTTGGAGCTGCTCCATTGGACCACATGGGGTCTGGGCAAACATAGGAATCAACATTATCACAGTATGACGTGACACAGAAAATGTGCATCCAGTACGTACAATCGTACAGATTGGACGCATGAAGAAATATATATTGCATCCCAAATATGCCCACAACCCACAATAGTATTCCTCATACCAAATTCTTGACATGAAATTTAAAATTCCTGTAATTTAAGAAATTATCCATTACAGTACACTACACCATTTCATTACTTTTCAGGACCTTATATTTCCTGCGAGGCGTTAGTCGCCTCTTACGACAAGCATAGTCGCTTTTTACAGCAAGCATATGTTGCTGAAGACCTATTCTACCCTGGATCTTCACGGGTCTAATTACTATCAATAATGCTTTAATATTTATCTACCAATAACAAAATGCTCAGTAATCATGGCTTTCTGATCAACCATATTATCTTGTTAAAGGAAACAGAATTATTTTGTTTAACGATAGTCTGGAATATTCCAGCTATGGCACATGGGCCTGTATACAATACAATCTGTGCCAGATAAACCAGCTTTTGGTGTTGTGGGTATTTTACCCATGCATTTTAAAATCATTGGGTATCAGTAATTCTATCAGGGTATTCAAATTTCTGTTACCCACTAGTTTTTATACATGTGGGTATTTATTTAATTAAGTTAAATATTTAAAAACACTATTCATCTAGTCCCTGCAAACTGGTGTCGTGTGGGTTTGAGAGCTTTATAGGACTCAAAATACCACGATACTTCCACAAGAAAGTGTGATGGCAAATGATCATGATGTAACTGTCATCGTGGAGTTTAGCAAGGTTGACGGAATGCCCGTTTATAATTACAAAATAAGTTGCTGATTTGCTAATTGAATCGAAGGGTTACTTCACAATATTTTGATGATACACACAAGATTTATTTTTGTAGCGTATCTGTAATGTTTGTTGCGTATTTGATAAGCTTGAATTTTATTTTACTGTGTATTTCTGCATTTCTGATGCGTATTTTATGCAGATACGCAGCTTATCTGGAGCTCTGATTAGGACATAAATATTCTGTATTCACTCATCAACAAAAATGAGATGTAATTGTCAATCTACAACCCTTCACAGTTTCTATTCTCGATCAACCCAAACACTTAACAACAAAAAATATGCTAAAAAAATTTGTTTTTGATATAAATATTTCACATAAAGGTTGTAGTTCATTTATAAAAATGTAAATTGCATCATCCAAACACTTACCTAACAAAACAAGTAACAGATTATTGAAGATCAAACAGCTTTACTGAAAGTCAACGAAAAGACTTCCTTTTTTCCAGTTTCACTACAATTATGTCCTTGACTCAAATACAAGGATCGTAAACCTTTCATTTGCTCAACACAGAATAGACACTTAGCATGCTTAATAGTAGTCTGTCTTACAGACCCTGATACAAATATATATCAAATACAGCCCATGCAAGTCTATAATGTTTGGCAAGTCTAGATTACTGCAGTACTATTTCTGAAAGTGAAGAGAGTCACTGGGCTCCTTTTTATTATATTTTTATTAAGATAACTGAACAACTGTGTTTTTATGTACGATATGTTCATTTAGAGACTAGATGTTAGTCCAGCTTAATGGTCATAAAACTAATTGATAATTACAACACATCTGTGCCATAAAACTAACCATGGTAACCGACCAATGAGAGTCCACTACACACAAAAAGAGAATGGACACAGAAAAAGAAAATAAATGTGTCCGTCCGGAGGGACACATAATAATATCCGTTGTACTTACAGTGCATCAAGAGCAGTTATGGGTGTCTGTTATTTCATCAATCAATGACCACATGATCATTTACTCATTGTAGACTCTAAAGTAATTATCAAAACGTACAGTATACTACATCATTTGATTACTTTACAGGACGTCATATAGCCTACAAAGACCTAGTCGGTCATACAGACCCTGATACAAATATATCCAATACAGCCCATGCAAGTCTATAATGTTTGGCAAGTCTAGATTACCACAGTACTATTTCTGAAAATGAAGTCTCTGGACTCCTTTTTATTGACATGATTAAGATAATTTAACAACTGTTTGTTTTTTCTGTAAGATATGTTCATTTCAGAGACTAGAGGATAGTCTAGCAAAGATTATGATTGGGGGTCCTTTGGTAAAACACTGACCATGAACACTGCAAAGCCATAAACTGTGCTTATTGACACCACAAAGCCATAAAAGTGTTTATCTACGGTGTATACAATATTTGCTGACAATGCTTTGATCACACCATCTTTTATGCCACTTATTTAGTAAATACAGTACCTTCAAAACCCAATTTAGCAATCTGTGATGAAAAAAAATAATAATAATAAAATTATTATGAAGTTTGCAGGACAAGTCTAACATGAGGCTATCAAGCTATCCTATTGACAGAGGTATCGGGTTAACATTTACATTGAACACATGGTTTAGATGTTGGCCAATATGTATATTTATCTATTAAAATGTGATTTTATAATAAAACATTTGATCATTCATATAAAAATCCACAAAAAAAAATCATGTCAATAATTCATCAGAAGCATAAAGTCATGCCTACCCAGGATAGGCGGAAATTATCTAGGCTGTTTGGGGGTAATTTCCCCAACAGGAACAATGAAAGGGCGAAAGGAATGGTATTTTACCAAGATATTTAGAAGTAGTCTATTCTGGTATGTTTATATTATGAAATAGGGACATACCCAAACAACGTCTACCTTGTGTCTACTCGCCCACTCGCTGTCAAATTGATTTTTACACCATGATGCGTAGTTCGTACAATGGGATCTAACACTGAACGGGGATACTGGATCTAATCGGTCACTATCAAGCAATTTCATTGAGATCGACCAGACATGGGACAAGATCGCGGCACATTTTGAACACTACAGAGTAAACATGGTACTCTAGAACGTAGAAACAGCTCCATTCACTCAATCAACAAAAACAACAAGGCACATTCGTTGTTCTTACTAGAACATGGGAAAACAAAGACAATGACCTAAATTCTCGTGATTCCGAATAAATTTGCACGAGCCATCGAGATTCACGTGCGCTTTCCCGTACAAATGTATTTTCAAAACATTCAAATATCTCGACAAATACGCAAGGAGTACACACAACGATTACAGAAGCACAATGAATAAGAAGATAATTTGCGGACTTACATTGGGCCGGTGATTTCAGTGCGGTGCCGAGGTGATTGGTTATGGAAATCAAGCCGAGATGGACAACGAATCATGAGAAACTACCCTTGCGCACCTCGTCCGCCATTGGCTCTGGCCATTGTGTACAATCCCTCCCTCGTTGAAGCAAGTCTCTGCTAAAACCTTTTTTTATTGCGAGGTAACTGTATCTACAACTTTACGGGAATGATGCTGTTTAGTTTATGTGAGGTCTGTTCCTTTACTAATGAAATACATATCGTAACTCAAACTGAAAATGACAATTTCTAAAGTCACACGAGGGGGTGTTACCAGTCGATAGAACAGCCGAACGCGAGGTCACGAAAATGTCACCGCCTGTCAATAATCACCACGTGACAGACAGCACATGGAAGATGGGCTATGGCAGAGAGTTGGACGAGGGAGAATGACGGTTTGCCTCGTCGTGTTTATTCATGGGTATTGCACTACGTTTTCAAAAGCGTTATCGCACGTTCTTGTACGCTACAGACTCTTGTACACGCAACTGATAGCTGTTTTACCTGTCGGTGTTCAGTAAATGTGAATTTGAGCTTCAAAGTTGTAGCCACATGTTGCATTTCCTTTTGTTACCGGAAACCGCCATGCTCGCGAAACAGAATTTCAAATGTGTGAGAATGTAGCATGTTTGTGGCTTCTGCGTGAATAAAACTATCGATAACGGTGTGCCGTGCGTGTATAATTTCTGCTGTATTTGTGTCAGCGTATGTTCGATGTTGTCAGATTCCCAATGAAATGTTGTTCAATACCTTCTACTTACACGGTTGGCTGCATCGACCGTGTTGACAGTGATTGTGGGCGGAGTCTAACCCACGTTTCTTGATAGTTTGTGGTGGAGGCTTAATCTTGTTTACTTAAGTTACTGGCTGAAGAGCCCGACAAAGCTGAAGAGTATCGACCACTCAGTATCAGTCTTTGACAAACTTAGTACTTATGTTGATTGTTTCATTGTCTTCAATAAGCCTATTGTAAAGTCTTATGAGCTGAATTGTTTGAGAGGCATTTCTTGTGAGCCCTTGTCAAAAACGTAAGAAACTTTGGTTTCTACTCTTTGAGAGACATTTTAAGGTTAGACAATGTCCCATCCCATCCACCCCAAATCCTAGAGAACATGTGTGAACCATCTAGATCACCTGTCCCCATGGATGTGGAAACATAGGTTGGCCCACCTTCTGGCCCAGATCGAACCATCAGTATAAAAAGACAAGGTGCCAATTCTGTTGCTGTTGCCAATTCTGATGTGAAATCAGCGCTGTAGCTTATTTTGTATTCACTAGGCCTGGATGTAGGGGCAAGAAGTATCCCTGAAACATGGTTAGAAATAATAAAGAAGTTACCAATAAATGTACCAGTCTTTAGATTACTCAACTGAATCAGGTATTTCTTTAAATAGGCGGGGTACGTGGTCGGGTAGCCTAGTGGTTAAAGCGTTCGCTCGTCACGCCGAAGACACGAGTTCAATTCCCGACATGGGTACAATGTGTGAAGACCATTTCTGGTGTCCCCCGCCGTGATATTGCGGGAATATTGCTAAAAGCGACGTAAAACCAAACTCACTCACTCAGTTTAAATAGGCTTCAGTGTGTTGCATGTTGACTAAACTGGCAGACAGGCGGTGTGGGGATGACAGAGCATAATAATTACCTGAGTCCCTATGACATGTCCTGGAGGCAAGCGTGCCTTCTCTCTCTCCCTCTCTCTCTCTCTCTCTCTCTCTCTGCGGGCTCCACTTCAATTTATTAGATAAGATAATTTTGTTCTATGACAAAATGTTAGTATCTCGCATGCAGAGCTCTAGTACCAATAGTTGTGAGGGGGATACAACATGCAGTCAAGACAGACGCATTTGCATCCTTTCTTAAGTTTTCATGCATATAGGATCAGGGTTGAAATGATACATTGGTGCACCTGGTGCATCATGAGTTTTCATGCGATGATACAATACACGATACATTTTTTTCTGTAACAATACAAGATGATATACTTGCTGAAATAATCTACTCACTATTTGTTAATTCGTTTTTGTTGTCGTGCCAGAAATATGGGATCGGTTTGCCCTGATAATGTTGCTTGGTTTGTCAGAACCATATTTATTCTTGTGAATATGATCATTGGGATTTTTATGACTCTTTGTGAAACCAGCAATAGTTCTCACAATTAAATCTCGTTTTCAGGGTGCCAACAGTTATGGTCAGCTAGCCCAAGGACATAAAGATGATGTCCTTGAACCAAGGGAAGTAACTTGCGTGCCTGATGATATCCTCAGTATCTGTGGTGGAGGGGGGCACACGCTGGCAATAACAAGTGAGGAACTGCTTTGATGTCACCATTGTGAGAATGTCTTTGTGCATCTTGTATTTGTCCAGACCAGACACTTCAACGTGACTGGAGAACGATTGCCCCGTGGAGAAGTGTCTGGCTTCGATTCCGCACATCAGGACAATGTGTGAAGCCCATTGCTGGTGTACTCTGTGTTATTGCTGGAATATTGCTAAAAGTGGCATAAAGCCATACTCACTCTGACATTGGGAATTTTATTTAACTCATGTCTGGAGCAAATGTCATTAAAATTCCCAAATTCAAATTAACATCCTTTCCAATTTGTGATACTGTAGAAATGACAAGTTTTAATGCCTTTAGGAGACCAAATGATAAAGAGGAAGAGCCTTTGTTGTTTAAGATTAAACAATTTACATGCAAGGGGCACTTAGTTTGGAATTCCAGATCAATCCCTGATTGTACCTATGTTTTTGCAGGAAATGGCAAGTTACTTTCATGTGGATCTGATGAGAAAGGTCAGGCAGGTAAAGGTCATGATAAGACGACCTTGACATCTGTCGAAGAACTGGAAGATCAACAGATAATAAAGGCAGCAGGTGGTTGGGATTTTACCCTTGCTCTGTCTGGTTAGTATATGTGTATAAGGAGGAACAATTGCTTCTGTTAAGCACGTTAAGAGTCGAATATGCCTAATTCAAAACAAATTGAATGGAACGCTAGAGTTTATCTTACCACTACAGATGTTGTCAGCCTTGTTCCAGTACGATCGCATTGTGGAACAGAGCCCTAAAGCTTTCCATGTTGTCTTATGCAAAGGGTGGAAATACAATAAAATGATTCATATCCATGGTCTGTGGCAGGAAACCTTGACAGGCCTTGCATTTTGTGTATTGACCCCGGTCAGAGAAAGTTTAATCAACCCTGTGATACCAGGTGAGAGTTTGTCTGAGCACAATGCACCAGTCGGACGAGGCCACTGAAAGCTTCAGGTGGTCAGACTTGGTGACTTGATGTGTGTCGTACCCTGGTGGTCAGACCTCCTGACTTGGCTGATGTGTGTCGTACACTGGTGGTGTGGGACACAATTCATGTTATCAAATACTGGTTTGGACCCGTGAAACCTGGGTTGGAATAGGTCTTCAGCAACCCATGCTTGCCTAAGAGGCGACTATGATTTGGGTGTTAGACTCGTTGACTTGGTTGATGCATGTCATTGTATCCAAATTGCGTGGATCGATGCTCATGTCAGTCACTGGTTTGTCTGGTCCAGACTCGTTTATTTACAGACCGCCGTCATATAGCTGTAATATTACTGAGTGTGGTGTAACAACAAACAAACAAATACTGGTTTGTCTGGACCGGACCTGAGTATTTACATCAGCCGTCATGGTATGGCTGGAATATCTTGAGACTACGGTTGGTTGGTTGGTTGGGTGGTTTTAATGCTGCACTCAGCAGTATTCCAGCTATATGACGGCAGTCTGTGAATAATCGAGTCTGGGCCAGACAATCCATTGATTGATATCATGAGCATTGATCTACGCAATTGGGATCGATGACATGCATCAACCAAGTCAGCAAGCCTGACCACCCGATCCCGTTAGTCGTCTTTTACGACAAGCATAGTCGCCTTTTACGGCAAGCATGGGTTCTACCCCGGATCTTCATGGGCCTTGAGACTATGGCTTTATACAAGCATGATGAACATGGTAAAGTAAAAAGACCTTGACATCACTCTCCCTCTTGTCTCCAGTTAAAGGAGAAGTGTTTTCCTGGGGCTCCAATGCTTTTGGGCAGCTTGGATATCACACTACAAAGTCTTCTTCTATTCCCGTGAGTAGAGAAGAGATATTTGATCACATTTGACGATATACAGGAATATAACCGATATACAGGAATTTTGTACAGAGCTACAGATAAGCTGCGTATTTGCATAAAATACCCCCCCACCCCTCCAAATATTCAAAACCCAATGACTTTCAATTAACTTGCGTACAGAAATGCATGCATTAAATGAAAAACTCAAATGTATAATAACAGCGTGTGTAAATACCCAATGAAGCTTTTTCAGCATGCGTACAATCGAGCTAATATTCGAAACACAGTTTCGAGCTAATTTCCTTTCCAAGTCAAGCCTATAGTTAGAACCCTTATATACGTCTAAAACATTATTTATTTATTTTTGAAATCTCAAAATATTTTACTCATTAGAGGAAAAACCCAATAGAGTGATGAATAGATTAGTGAAAAAATATTGGTTACCCTATGAAAAATGTGATAACCCAATTTAAATAGAAACCTTTGAGTAAAAACTCTATTGCTCAAAAGGTTATCTGGAGTTTTGATTGTAATACAGCTGTTGGCAATACACATATTGCAATACAAACTTTATGTATCAATATTTTCCGTTACAGAAGAATTAATATATGATTATATAAATTATATCAACTATTGAGGCACTTGGATGGACTGGATTCTTATAAAAACAAGCACTTTGCACTGTTTACATTAATATTGCATATTTATAACCGAATAAGTAGCCTCGTTGATCCATTCCATCATAACCCATCTCACAATCTGAAGTCTAGATTATTGCGTGAAAGATCACCCTGTTTTGAGTTGTCATTTGTTCGGCATAATCATTTAAAGATTAAACCATCAGCCATGAAGTGTTATGGTTTTTATTTCCCCATTTGAACAGTACAATATGTTCACAAAGATTTTCTAGCCCCAATATGTATTGCACTGCAGTTCTCCACATTGTGATGTATGCAATCACAGGAGTCCGTATCTAAAAATAGACGCCCTCATGCATATTCATGAGGGTGTCTATTTTTAGATACGGACTCCTGTGATGCAATACAATTAATGTGTCCATACACCAACCCTTATACTCTGGACAAACCTTTTCTTTCTTCTTTTTGTCTTTGTAGGCATTTTAATTAAAGTCCTTGCCTCAGTTGTGAAAAATTTAAAATCGCGTTTTTTTTCTTTTCAGCACAGTGACTAATATGAGTGCTTTAAATTTGTTAAAAATTATGTGAGGTGGAAACAAAAACATCTTGTGTCATGTCTGAGGTTACTTGTTTTGTTTTATATAGATGGTGGTGAACATTCCTGGCAGGCCCAAAGTTGTTGATGTCTCGGCTGGTCTGAGACATGCAGTTGCCATCACAGGTAAGGAAAGTTGGAAGAAATTGTCTCAAATATTATTAATAATAAGATAAACATACAGTGTTTGCAGTGGAGAGCGTGGTTACCTGTTGATTTAACCACGCTAAATTGAATTTGGAATTGAATTCGCAGTACTATTCTAAAAATATTAGCTTCCATGATGCGGCCATCAAATCGGCTTTTCTAATCGTAGGAGGTTTATTGTGATTTGACAACCTCTGACTGACCAATTAGAATCAAGTAATTTTCAAATTCATGTTCAATTTTGATATCATGTTATGATGCCTTGCAATTTTTTAACATGTCGACTTAAAATTGTATAATGTATTTAGCAGTAATATTTATTAGAATAGTTATGATTAATGTGTATTTATGAGGACCCTAAATAATATAAAGACTCCTTGGCCTCATCCACAAAGTAATCTTATGTCAATGGCTGTCCATTGTCAGTATGGCTTGTAAACACAACCGTCCTCGATCACCCAAGAATACATATGCACATTTGCCAGTGTCATCCCTATTTTAAACCAATGACTCAGAGAATGGCCAAGTTCCACCAATGAGGGCTCAGCTTACATCGCACAAGCTACAGTTTATTATCCCTTGCTACGAAGTGTCCATCTGTCCTTCAGTCCTTCCATCCGTCCGTCACGTTTCATTCCCAGAGCAGAACTTAAAAAACAGATATCTTAACCATACTTGGCAGATAGATAGGTCTAGTGGTGAACTGGTATCTTTTAATAATTTGGGATTTTTTTAAAATTTGATTTTTGAGTTTCCATGGCAACAACTTTGACTTAGACTGAAAATGGCAGTAGTGGTCATTTCCGTAGTGCTAATGCCTTGCACACAAGCGTACATGTCATATTGGCGGGGGCTGTCATGTATTCACACATTTATACTCAGGAATATGCACGCTCGTGTGCCATGCCAAACACAACAGAACATGGAAGGAAGCCATCATAGTTTACTCAGACAACGCATCGATACATGACATCATCGTGTATTTTGGATATTGCGGGAAACTGTATCACACAAGATGTAAACAACTACAAGGAGAATACACTACAGGGGCAACATGCAATAGCCTTTTGGCTGTCTGCTTTGCACATTGTGAAACCCTACCACTGCCCGCCAACAAAGGTCATGTATGGAGGAGGAGGTAGGGTTTATAACCCATCACTCCTGCATGTAATCGTGTATGTTTGCATTCATGGGTAGTGGAAAACCACAGTGATGTGCATCAGGAGTTTATTGATGGAAGTAGAGCTGACATCACACAGCTCTGGGCTAAATAGGCCCCAACTATAGTGCAGGGGACTCAGGTGGCCTTAACGGGCGTGACAGTTTGCTGTGCGTGACAGTTTGCTGTGCAGAGCTGCGTCATTAACGCTTAGGTTCAAATCCCAGTTTCCCTTCTTGGTTTGTCAGCACCATACATGTAATCGTGGGTTACACCAAAGTGGCAGATATCTAGTATCTATACCACCTAGGGTTGTCCTCTGTCTTGATGGGGGGCATGGGTGGCTCATTTGTCTAAGGCGCCGCGATTCGCTGTACAGAGTTGCTTCCCTTGGGAACGCCAGAAATCTATGATTGTGGGTTCGAATCTCGGTTCGCCCTGATATGTTTCTAGGTTTGTCAGCACCATACCTGTGCTCGTGGGTTTCACCAAAGTGGTAAACGTCCGAGACATTCATCACTTCTGGCTTTCCTCCCACATTAAGCTGACACGCTGTGATATAACTGGAATACTGTTAAAAGCGGCATTAAACCCCAATCACTCACTCACTCACTCACTCACTCCTCTGTCGTAAAATAATTCTGTTCATAGTGGCTTTAAATCGCTCACTCAGCTCAAAAGAACTTAGTGTCTAACAATGATAGTTGCAGCAGGTGTTCCCACCAGGCCTGGCTGGATTAAAGTAGCTGTAATTATTGTAGCTGTTGAACATGTCCAGCCAAGATATTTTGAAAGAAAGTAACCTTTCTTGTTACAGAGTCAGGGCAAGTTTATACATGGGGTCAAGGTCGGAAAGGTCAGCTTGGCGTTCATCTGTCGCCTAAGGTGCACGAAGTTGATCAACCAACTGAAGGTGTGTGTTAATGGCAGTCAGTGTAAAGTGTTGCATGGATAATAGCACATCTACATAAAGGAAAGAACATTTGTTGAATTTTTGCCTGTGTTTAAGAATATGATGTGTCAGTCTTACATCTTCACGATAACATTACACCAATTGGTGTGGTGATTGTACCATGGTTTGGGAGTGTGGACATGAATCGTAAAATTCAATGTCTAACACTGTTGTGTTGTTTGTTTTTCACACAACGTATTATGGACATAAGAATGGAATTTCAGTTGTCAAGATAGACACAGATCAGGTTTCATACACTGATTTTATATTGTGAAGACACATGACTCATGCAGAAAACGAATAAATCTTTTGTATGAAATGAATGAATAATCATTTTAATCTTGTTAGTTAATCGACTTATAATAATATTAAGTGGAGCTCTTAGCAATGAATACAAAAACCTATTTTGGGTGTATTTTAAAAAGTGTTTTTTGATGTATTTTTGCAGTCAAGTTTCCAGGCAGTTTGTCAGCTAGACTTGCAGTGGCAGGGTCAAACCACACAGCGGTTCTCACCAGTATGTATTACATGCGTTTACTTTTGGTATGTTTGACGTCTCTTGTGTAAGGAGCTAACATTGTATGTGTTAAAACATTTTTCAATAGATGTTAGAAATGTTCATTTTCAAATCACACGATTTTTGTGACTCTTGGCTGACATTTTTCAGTCCTATTGATCTGCATTGGATTGTAGGAAAGGCAAGCCTAATAAGGGGAGATAACTAAACAATTACCTCCCTTTATTGAAATGCCTCTTTTCTCAGACTGTAATTGTTTCGTTAAGATGTTTGGAAAGGACAGTATGTTTTGTATTTTATACACAAGTGACAATCGTTGCCAATTATCCCCTTGGCCCCAAATTTATGAATTGAAAGTACTGATTATAGACAAGCTGACACACTGTTGACATGTCTGTCCAGACTGCTGAAATATAACGCCAGTCTGTCGGTTACTCTCTCACTTGGGTCCAGTCATATAAGCACTGCAATTTGCTGTGCAGAGTTATGTCCCTTAGAGTGCGGGATATTTGTGATCATGGGTTTGAATCCCAGATTTTCATAGATTATTGGCCTTGGTTTGTCAGCACCATGTACAGTATGCGCATATGGTTTACCAAAAGGGGTTAACATCTGAGGCATGCATCAAGCTGAGACCCTGTAGTATAACTGAAATACTGCACAAAGCTGCATTCAGCCCAACTCACTAAGGACCCCATGTTTCCAAGGCAAGGGTGTTAAATGACTATAAAGGTCCAGTTTCAACGCTTTCGAAACTAGGCTGGAATTCTGGAGTTACATTTTCGCTGGACTAACGATTCTATGCATAGTCCAATCAAACAAAGTAGACATCCGGCTCAGAAACAGCATGGATTTGGATGAGTTTGGTTGACTGCAGGCTTTGCAATGCATGTGTACCACCAACTGGGCATCGACATATTTTACACATCTTTTCATGTTATTAATCAAGATGCTCAAGTGATTTGATGCGAGGTGGAATCTGATTGGTCAATAGGAGGACATAGAAGGGATATGATTTGTAATAGACCCTGCGTTATGATTGAGCCCTGAAATTCCAGCCTAGTTCGACAAGGGTGGAAACTGAGTAGACTTTTGTTGTCTGTTGCCTCGGGAAGATGTAATGACCCTGTATTATGAACTGTTATCGCCAGGTACAGGTGAGGTGTGTATGTGGGGCTGCAACAGACATGGCCAGATGACCTTCAACCCAGAGACCACCTCCCAGCATGCATTACCACACCTAGTTCCCTCAGAAATGTTCGGTGGGAGAAGAGTTGTCTCCCTTCACTCAGGTTGGACCCATCTTGTATCGTGCACTGGTAAGAACTTTGCTCGTGAGTTTCACCAAAATGGTAAATGTCTGACCTGTACCACTCAGGATTATGATGTTTTACCATCGTGTTTAACATCCAAGACCTGAATCACTCCTACATCTAGCTGACACACTGTGATATAATTGGAATACTGTTCAAAGCAGTGTTAAACCCAACTCCACACTCACTCACTCACTCTATTTAGTAGACGTTTTTTTCGTATGGCATTTTTTCTTTGCTACATATTTATGTATGGGTCAGTAACATTTAACACTTTAGTGACATTTTAGTGTTATTGGTGATGTTATGTCTTTTGAGTTAATGGCCTCACGTAGAAAATGGCTTTCAAACATGATTGTGCTTTACTTTATTGAATGAAATGTTAAATACCTCTCATTGTAGAAAAAAGTTCTCTCTTTTTTTAAAATGTTCGTTATGTTATTTTTTCCCCTTTGGCCTGTCGACAGTTTGAAATGCCAGCTAAACGGCTGAATATTTTCTAAAGATGTTTCATTCTTGTTTCAGAGGATGGATCAGTATATACCTGGGGTCGTGCTGACTATGGTCAACTCGGGAGATCATGTGACAGATCACATGACTGGATACCTCGACCAGTCATCAGTTTGCAGAATAGTAAAGCTGTGACATGTGGATCTGAGCACAGCCTGGCCATTGATGGTGTGTACTCTCTCACCTGGAAATGAATTACACTTTGTCAGCAAGGGCTGAAAATGTTTGGGGAGAGTTGTGTCCCTTAGCCGTGCCAGGATCGGCTGTATGTTGGTTCAGATCTAGATTTGCCCAGGGCACTGTTCCACAAAGCGATCTTAGCGCTACGACTGTCATAAGCCAGTGTTAAAGTATGGGTTGGTTGGTTTGTTTTACGCCGCACTCAGCAATATTCCAGCTATATGACAGTGGTCTGTAAATAATCTAGTCTGGACCAGACAATCCAGGTATTGATATCGTGAGCATCGATCCACGCAATTGGGATACGATGACATGCATCAACCAAGGCAGCCAGCCTGACCTTCCAATCCCGTTAGCCGCCTCTTACAACAAGCAGGGGTTGCTGAAGAGCTATACTATCCCAGCTCTCCACGGATTTTAAGTATGGCAGTTACGATCACCTTAGTACAAAGATGGCTTTGTGAAACGGGGTCCTATTTATGATCCTTGGTCAGTTAGCATTCTTGTGCCTATTAGTCTCATCAAAATGGTACACATAGATTTACAACCTTCATCCCAATGGAACAACTCCATGTACGTTCTTGTTGCGTTCTAGTCTTGTTGCAACAGTTACACGGGATGGTGGGGTAGTCTAGTGGTTAAGGCGTTCACTTGTCATGCCGAACACCCGGGTTCGATTCCCCACATGGGTACAATGTGTGGAGCCCATTTCTGGTGTCCCCCTGCTGTGATATTGCTGGAATATTGCTAAAAGCGGCATAAAACCAAACTCACTCACTCACTGTAACAGTTACACACGTTAGCTTATCCTGACTCATAATTATTGCTTGTCTCATCTCATTTCCGAAAGGAAGTGCAATAAGTATGAGTCAGGATAAGTATATAGAAATTATTTCTTCAAATGCATTTTTGAAAACTTTGGATTTGTTTCTGGTCATAAATTTCTGATTTTGAAATCTTTGACCTGCTGTTCTTTAGGACATCTAAACAACCACATAAAATCATCATTAGTACATGGCCCACTTGCCTGAACTATTTCGGTAAAGGCGAATACAGATAATGTTTTTCTCAATTTGCTCTTGCAGCGTCTCCATGTTGATAGGCTGTGTTTTGTGAAAATACCCAGATATTGTGTGTTTCAGCGGACGACCATCTTGTGACGTGGGGCTGGAACGAACATGGGATGTGTGCTACTGGAGATGAAGTAAATGTCAAGGTTCCTCACAAGGTGGCAGCACTGAATGACAAGGAAGTCGGTCATATTGGATCTGGCGCTGGACATAGTTTTGTGATTCTTGCAGGAACGCCTTGATCCACGTTGCAGGAACGCCTTGATCCACGTTGCAGGAAAGCCTTGACCCATGTTAAAGGTACACCTTTATTCATGTTGCCGGAAGGCCTCGATACATGTGAAATTCAAGATATTAGAACAAAGGTACTGTGATATTGAATGGACTGTCAACTGCTTTGTGATTTTCATTCCACTGTGCATGATATTTTGTTTAGTATTGTTGATGATGTAAAACACAGGACAATCGGCGATACATGTGAAGTGTTGAAACATGTGATAGTGCGTACACATCCACCAACATAACAACAGATATTATACCTCACCACAAAGTGGAAGGGGGATATAGGAATGGGTGCTGTCCGTCTGTTCGTCCGTCACGTTTTGTTTCCGGAGCAGAACTCAAAAACCATGAGAGATATCTTAACAAAACTTAGCACATAGATTGGTGTAGTGGTGAACTGTTGCCTTTTGATAGTTTGGGATTTTTGAAAAAAATATTTTTCAAGTTTCCATGGCAAGAACGTTGACTTAGACTTAAAATGGCAGTAGGGCTCCTTTCTGAAGCAGATCTTGAAAACCGTACAATATTTCTTCACCAGACTTGGCACATAGATAGGTAAGCTGGTGCCTTTTGATAGTTAAGGATATTTGAAAACTGTACATTTCAAATTTCCATAGCAACAAGACATGTCATATTGGCAGGGGATATGAGTATATCATACTTGTTCTGTTTTGAGAAGTATGTTGGAAATTGTTCAAATTATCTACAAACATCTTTCCATGAATTTGGAAAATCCTCAATTCTCAATGGTCAGTCAGATGTTTCAAGTTGTATATCCATCTCTGGGTGAAAACCCCACAAGCTGAAGACCTCTCTTATCTCTCAGGGAAGATGGTTTGATGTGGCCAAATCTATCTTACTGCCATGTTTATCGTTACCACAGTTTGAATACAAACTTGTATGTCGCCAAAGTGCCAAACGACAAGTGGTTTATGTTTAGTTTCTGTGTACAAGGGTGGATCAAGCAATTATAAAAGGGAGGGGTCCAAAATATCAAAATCCTCAGTCTTTACTACCTACAGTTTTCAAAAGAACTGAACCCCCCACCCACCCCCTCTGGATCCCCCTCCCTCTGGATCCCCCTATGTTGTATCACGTACATCTGAAGTAAAAAGTGTACCTTGCATGATGCCGTTTCGCTGTAAGGCGCTTGAATTGCAGTAATTACAGAGATCAGACAGACAAGCACACTGTTGCCATGATGGGGTATACCGTATTCGACGTAATAAGCGCCCTGCTCTAATAAGCGCCCACGGCGACATTTGCTAATATATTGGCTAGTGAACAATCCCAATCAGCACCCCTTCCGATTGATCAATGTACGCAAGACTTATTTATTCGCGCATATTACGCACTCGTGTGTTACATCACCCTTAATTATGGGCAATTAAATTCTTGAAAAATATATCTGTCGTATGTAAACATTTCAGGATGTTTGCATAAACCACGAAATTTACGATCTTTCAACTCAAAATAATATTCTGATAAGCGCCCCCTATTTATAATTTTGAGAGCGTCCTGGGCGCTTATTACGTCGAATACGGTACTTCTTCCTGAAGTACACTGCTGTAGCCCACTGCTGTAGCGGGCTACATACAGAGCTCCAGATAAGCTTTTGGTGTTGTGGGTATTTTACCCATGCATATTAAAATCATTGGGTATCAGTAATTCTATCTGGGTATTCAAATGTCTGTTACCCACTAGTTTTTACACATGTGGGTATTTAAGTTAAATATTTAAAAACACTATTCATCCAGTCCCTGCAAACTGGTGTCATGTGGGTTCGAGAGCTTTATAGGACTCAAAAATACCACGATACTTCCACAAGAAAGTGTGATGGCAAATGATCATGATGTAACTGTCATCGTGGAGTTTGGCAAAGTTGACGGAATGCCCATTTATAATTTCAAAATAAGTTGCTGATTTGCTAATCGAATACACAGGGTTACTTCACAATATTTTGATGATCCACACAAGTTTTATTTTTGTAGCGTATCTGTAATATTCGTTGCGTATTTGATACGTTTGGATTTTATTTAACTGCGTATTTCTGCATTTCTGATGCGTATTTTACGCAGATACGCAGCTTATCTGGAGCTCTGACATAGTTATTAAAACCTCATTCACCAATAAAATCCCAATATTTTACATGTAAGAGTATGTTTATCTCTGAATTGACACTTGGCATATGCAGTGGAACCTTGTTTATCTGGACGGTACTGCCCCAACTGAAGTTGTCCAGATTAACAAGTTGCTGTTAAAGAGTAGTGTTGTTAGTATATATGTGGACTTTGGGCATGCCAGAAACGCTTGATTGTGGTTTTGAATCCTGGTTTGCCCCGATATGTTTCTTGGTTTGTCGGCACCACTCTGTGCTCGTGGGTTTCACCAAAGTGGTAAACGTCTGAGACCTGCATCACTGTTGGCTTTCTTTCCATATTAAGCTGACACGCCGTGATATAACTGGAATACTGTTAAAAGCGGCATTACAGAGATCAGACAGACAAGCGTTAAACCCCACTCACTCACTCACTCACTCACTCACTCACTCACTCACTCACTCACTCACTCAGAACCACATCAAGGTACAGGCAGACTTTTGATCTGGGAAGGGGTTGACGGGGTCCTTAGCTGATTTTGCCCTTGGACACCACGGCAACGAGACAGGCAAATCTAGAAATCTAAAATTCTAGAAATCTAGAAATACCAGTGTTACTAGCTTGCAAAGATACATAACAGTAACAATGTTAAACATTGTGTGGTAAAAATCAGGCTAAAAAAGGCTTACACTTGAAACGATACAGCAAGGTGACGATACATATCATGATACATAGGTAAAGATACGCATTCTTATGTCAAATCGGATGGAAACTTCTTGACATTTCAGAGCAAGTTCAAAAGGAAAAGCTGGCTGTAGACACATGTTCACTGGGCTATATTTAGTTGGCAAATTACAACACATTTTGCGATGTCTGACTGACAAAAACAAAAAGGATCATTAAACAAGTAGTAAATAATTTATTTCAGCAAATGTATCGTCTAGAAAAAAACGTATCATGTATTGTATCGCCACATGAAAACTCACGATGTGCCAGGGTATCGTTTCACCCCTATAAACACAAGAAAACGCAACTCATAAGTTTATGTAATACTTAAAATGCATTATGATATACAAATCTATGCGTAGTAGAATCTTTGGCAGTTTACCGGGCACAGCCCGGACTCTACCATCCAACACCACTTGGCGATCCTTAGGGAAACTTACACGTCTTTAGGGTCAAACACCCCTTGTCGATCCTTAAGGTTAAGGTTAGGGTTAGGGTAAGGGTTAGCCTTAGCCTCCAATTCTCACACGTCTTTAGGGTCAAACACCCCTTGGCGATCCTTAGGGTTAGGGTTAGGGGCTAGGGGTTAGGGTTAGCCACAAATTCTTAGCTTTCCATTCCTCGAGACGAGCTGCAACACAGTCCAGAGAGGGCGTGTAGACGTGCTTCACGGCATCAAGGAAGGCCAGGGACTGTCCACCTTGACATGCCCTAGCGACAAAAGCTTGCCTGATTTCCTGGAAGGGAAGATGGGTTCTTTCAACTGCATTCTTCATGAATTTGTAAAAGCCTTTCTCAAAATCGTTCCCAGCTTGCTTCCATTTTTCCCAGTGCTGGAGAGTGAAAAAAAATGCTTCAGGGTTCTGCATCACTATGAATATTGACAATGATTAAAACTAAATCATAAAAGTAACAATATGTTATGAAAGGAATTCACAATGGTTATCCAGCATACTTGAATTTGTGTTAAATAAATAAAATGCAACAGTAATGAAGCTCAAACTTGTTACTGTGACTCTTCAGTACTTCCTGAAGTACACTTGATTCAACAAAGTATATATGGAACACTGAAGCTTCTTACACCACCATTAGGTTACCTTGGTGACGAGCAGAACACACGAGGTGCACGCTGACAACAGCATCCTTCCAGCTCCCTGGAATGGAAGAAAGGTTCTTGCAATTCTTGTCTCACCCTGATCTGCTCTCCATCCCAGTCATTGTCAGTCAGATTCCTCATCCAGAGACGGCCATAAACTCGCAGCAGAGTGATGTGAGATCGGATCATGTCTTCCCATGCTTGAATGTGGAACTTTTTAAACTCGAGTTTTGTCGATGTTATGAAAATAATTCACAGTGGTTATCTAGCTTGAATTTGTGTTATATTAATGAAATGAAACAATAATAAAGCTCCTTGTTTCCTGGGCACTTCTTCAGAAATTGGATTGCTGGCAACATGGGAGGAGAGCTTCTTGGCATTTTCTTCTCATCCGAACTGCAGATCCATTTTTGCAACATCTGTGTGGCTTGGCAACACAGTGCATGCTGAGGTGCACACTGACTGCCCACGTTGGCATGCAAGGGAGGGTGTCCTTGTTCCCTTGAAAGGGAGAAAGGTTCTTGCAACGGTTTTCAATCCTTGTCTCACCCTGACCTGCTCTCCATCCCAGTCATTGTCAGTCAGATTCCTCATCCAGAGACGGCCATAAACTCGCAGCAGAGTGATGTGAGATTGGATCATGTCTTCCCATGCTTGAATGTCGAACTTTTTAAACAGGAGTTTAGTCAATGAACCTGGGTTTTTTATTCACATGAAGGTGTATCAGGCTCCAGGAAATACAAGGTCCTGGTTTTGTTCTCACTTCTGACTGTGACTCTCATGAAGCACACAGACTTGAACAAAGCACACAGACTTGACCCGAGCACACAGACTTGACCAAAGCAAGCAGACTTGACCAAAGCACACAGACTTGACCAAAGCACACAGACTTGACCAAAGCACACAGACTTGAACAAAGCACACATGGTACCTCTCAATCTTCATTACCCTGTTAGGGGGCACGGGTGGCCCAGTCGTCTAAGGCGCCGCGATTCGCTGTGCAGAGTTGCGTCCCTTGGGCACGCCAGAAAACTATGATTGTGGGTTCGAATCCCGGTTCACCCCAATTATGTTTCTAGGTTTGTCAGCACCATACCTGTGCTCGTGGGTTTCACCGAAGTGGTAAACGTCTGAGACCTGCATCACTTCGGGCTTTCCTCCCACATTAAGCTGACAGGCCCCGATATAACTGGAATACT